CCCTCTCCCAGTGTAATAATGTTGCTGGAATTTTTATAAGAATCTTCTTAAAACAGAGAAGTAGATCTATATCTTCGTTATGATTTAGCTGCAGCTCTTGTTCAGTCACTAAAAACTGTTATTTTTTAATCTTACATTATAAACTAGTAGGATTCCTTTCATATATTTTGAATAGGAGAACAGCTTCCTGCAGAGTCAAAGTCAGTGCTAAAGGGCTGCATGCATTAAACAGCAAACCTCATAAGTTCGTCAGCAGTAAAAGCAAATGAATCTACCCACTTATCATTAAACATTTGGTTTTCTTCAGAAACTTTTCTTCGGATTTATCCATGGTCGGAGGGGGGGAAAGCGCAGTCCATATAGATGTGTTTAGTGACTGATTAGCAGATAAACCATCAAGTGATGTGAATTGTGACAGGTCCCCAGCACAGCTTTTAACATTCAGATGAAGCTGTCCCAAGCACAGCTTTTAACATTCAGATGAAGATTACACTGGGACAAAGAGAATCCTTTCAGCAGCATTTCATGTAACATGAGAGTCTGCAGGAAGCTTGTTTAGCAGAGGAATGTAGCAATTTACTTAACTAGCTGATTTACTTAACTAGCTAGCTCTGCTTCCCTGAGTGGAGCTTCGAGCAGATCAGCTGCTGTGCTGGTGCATGTTCTGAGCTACGGAGCCACAGCAGAGGGGTTCAAGAGCCACGTGCGGCTCCGGAGCCCCAGGTTGCCGACCCCTGCCCTAGTCCAACGTCATTGGCACTGGAGAAATGATACAGTTGGCTCAGTATATACAAGTAGTATTGGGTCTGCAGAGTTTTCATGTATTATAGTCTATCTTAATGGGGACTCAAATACCATGTTAGCTGTAGTTTGCTTTCAAGTAGGACCTATTTTTCACCCTTGAATTCAATATATATATATATATATTGACTTGAATCCCAAGCAGCAATTATGTGAGAGGTTAGAAGGGGACTTTCTTACCCCTCCCTTATCCACTCCCCTGAAAAGATAGTCCTGAGGATTGTGGACCATTTAAACAGAGTGGGATTAAGCCATTGTGTTTGTTACTACATGCAGTTTTCTTGATTAAGCATGCAAATCTGCATATGGATAGTTAGATTTTGATTTTTAAAAACTGCACAAACCAAGCAGAATCTTCATGCAATGAAATTTGTCCTGTTTAATTTCTGGGAAGAGGTGGGGAAGATTTCAGTGGATTAGGTAGAATATTTTCATCACTAGAATAGCTTTGCCAGTTGGGTAAATATTTGACCATTATATTTGCAAAGTTAAAGACTTATCAATAGGATACCTTTCTCACTTCACTGATAGTAGTGTATGTAAGGAACAACAGGAAATTGAAGAAAACTGATCCCAACGTAAAGCCTATGCAGTTGGCATGACTGTCTCAATAAAATCATGGTATCTTTTCCTAATAGTCTTGTGACAGTAAAAAGGGAGTTAAGTGTTTGAAAGGGATTCACTCCAGTTAGCTGGAAAGTGGGGGCAGCTATATGACCTCCTTATCTGTCAGTAGATGTTGAATTTAGAAAAAAGATTTTGCTTGTATCACCAGTTGGCATGAAAATAACCTATTGCTTGAAATTATTTCTTAGCTATAATTCAGATGTTTTGGGTGGTTTTTTAAATATTCTTTTATCCCACATGCTTTACCAATTATAAACTTGTCTTTCAGTGAAACATGGTTAGGCCATGTGTGCACCCAGCATTCCTGTAGTCTGCTCTGACCCACCTTTTCTTGGGCTACTATCATATATGCAATGGTTAATTTTTAGCTGAAGGGAAAATGTAATGTAATGTAAAACTTTACTAATGTAAAACTTTACTAATGTAAAAGTTCATTACTAAAGATAGCAAATAAAGCAAGAACTCTGCTATGCAGGAATAACTTATTCATTTGAAAGAGAAATAAAATTATAACATTTGGTTGAAAGCTGGTCTTTTGTAACCTGTTCGAAGGGTAGTTTCTGAACTTTGGAAATGGGCCTACAGTTTGTGCATGTGTTTTCTGCCTCTTTTTTCTGCCTCTTCATATGAGGTAGATTGTGGTGATCGTCTTTGTTTTGGACTCAGCTAGATTCTACTTCATAAGACACCCCAATTTCCTAGTTTGCTTCTTTCCAGTGTAAGTAGGATGAAAAGAGAGCTGTTCATCAGTTCCTCCTGGGTATTATCCTGGAGGCGTGCATTATTTTGTTCACAAAAGGAATAAAATGAGCAAAAAGTACTTAAGTGTGTAGGGGGGAAATTAATACACTTATGTAACTATTGAGAGACATAGTTTTCATGAATACCCTATATTCAGAGGAAACGTGCTCAGGAAACCTTTTTTTAAAAAGTATTTTCTGAGATTTCTAAGCCTTATTCATGCATAGAAGTAAATACTGCTTAGTATAGAAGGTCTCAGTCCAAAGTGATTGCAATGTTGATATTTCAAATGTCCCCTCTGGATCAGGCTTATTAGGAGGTGTACTAAATTAACCACATAGATCTATGATCTCACAAAAGAATGAAAGTATCCTAAATTGACTACACCCTTTGAATTACATGTATTCATGCTTCAAGAAATTGTATTGTACACATATTTCATACAAGGCTCAGTGTTTTCAGTGGAACTTCCATCTAATATGTTTTATAATCTGGTTTTAAATGCATCATTCAAAATTTGATAAAGACAAACCTGTCAATTCACATTTTCCCTAATTTGCCATGGCTGTTGGGTTGCAAAAAAAATTATCTTAGTATTGGTGCTCTTCTTTAATTGAAAAAAATGAAGAATCAACAGTAAAAATTCTATGGTATGCTATATGGTCTTGATTTATATTAATGTTTTAATAACCTTAAAAGGCAAACATGTTTTCTTATGTTTATATCTATATCTGTTTTATAGCTACTAGATCTTACTGCATGTAAAATAAGAGCAGGAAGAAAATGCATGGTGGATTTTATAAACAAAATGGTGCTGGCAATTCAGTTGCACTTTAAAAGTGGTATTGCATGTTTTATTTGCTTATTTAAGTCTGGCTGAATTATGTGTTAATATTATCTTACTAAAGATGCAGTAATTTCATGCATTAATATTAAACCATTCTTTAATATCAGTGAATGGAAAGAAATTGAAATGCCTTTGTTGATAAATTATCATAAAGTAAGTTTGTGGAAAAATGTGACCAAATTGAAGCATTTTACATAATAGTAACAGAAACTGCACCTTTAAAATACTGAAATGTTTTTGAATAGTACTAATTGTTGCTTAACCTATAACACTCACAGACAGCTTGCATTGCCAATTGCTGATTTATTTTTCTTTCAATAATATGCTGCATGTAGACAAAGATGACCTGTCCCCAACTGCTGAGGTTTGGGATGTAGACCAGGGACTAATAAGTAAACTGAAGGAACAGTACAAGAAGGAACGAAAGGGGAAGAAAGGGGTAAAGAGTAAGTGCAGATTCTGAATCTTGACACAACTCTTTGAATTACAGTTTTTTGGAGGACAGTTTTTGTTTTGTTTTGTTCTTAAGTGTTCTCCTTTCCACTTCTATTTAACAGTTTTCTATTTGGTGGCAACCAACTTTAACTTTCCATCTGATAAATCTGCAACTTAAAATTTCATCTAAAATGAAATTATTTTAGATTTGTATCTTGGGGTGGGGTGAAAGGAGGGATGGATAACTTGCGCTGCTTCAGTATTAGCTAGAAATAATTTGACTATCATTGTTTTGTACTTTTTAAAGGAGCATATACAAATTTTTTCGTCAATGATAAGTGACGAAATGCTAAATGAAAGAGAAAGAAGGGACATGAGAGGAGGCTAGTGTTTCAGTTTGTCTAGGGCTTTGGCAGAACAAGGGTGGTTTCTGCAAAGTCATCATGAAGCTTCCAGCTTTTCTCTCTCTGGAGTGTATGCAACTCATGGATAACTCAGGAAAAGTGTAGTCATCACTGAAGAATGAGTTGTTGCCGTTGGTTGCTTATTGAATCTTTGGATCCCTGACTTTGAACTGTAACCTGATTTGGCAGGTTACTTTTCACCACTACCAAGTATGATATGAAGTACACATTCAGACACATTTCTGGGATGATGAGGTTCAGCAACAACCATATGTCTCCTAGTAAGGACCTTGGAGCAGTGGCTTTTGAATTGAGTAGTGTTACAAGATGCAGAATGAGAACTTAAAGTTCAGATGAAGGACAGGATCTAGCAACAGACCAAGCAAATTTCTGCTCAGAAATAGAGGTTTAGTGTATAGCTGCCCAAACTGTTTTGCCTACTATGGAAGCAGTAGGAAGGCAAGGAATAGATGGGAGCTTAATGCCACATCGACTGCTTTCCTGCTGCTGAATTTAGTTTGAGGTGGCCTATCCTGGTTGCTTCTGTTGCAATAGTATTGGATTAGTTCCTCAGGCGCAACTGTAAAGTCCGTATATGGAATGATGGGTCAGGAATTTGCACATCTGCTGAAATCAAGCTTTCAGCTGAATATTGACAGCTGACTATTAACTATGTTTACTCAGAAGTAAATTCCATTAAATATATTTCCAGGGAAGCAGTCTTAGGCAGAGTGCAGCCATGATAGGAAATCTTTTGCACTCTGCTGGTTTGGCTTTGTATGCAAATTCTTAATATAAATAGATTTGTGCATGGTTTTAAAATATTTTAAAATAGTGTTGCATGCTCTCTGCATTATTTTCTTAACTCAGTATTAATTACATTATTCTAAATGGGTCCTCTTGGACTCATTAGGCAATACTCTTAGTCTATAATATAAATTCGTCCTCTGCTCGTAATACATAGTCATTTGTTGTAAACTTGTTGGAGTTGCGGTATTTTATTCAAGAGAGTCTACTTTCAATTCCAAACTGCTATATAACATGCATTTTAATTCAGTTACTAGAAATTTTGAAATGTGTTTAATGTTTGTAAGGTCATTAGAGTAAAATGGTGAGGAGGAGTGAATGGCTTTTGCTAAACCTGAACACTTGCAAGGTGTTTTATGTTCTGCAGTTCCTCCAAAATAAAAAAATATAGATAGTGGTTCCGAAAGATTTCTTACTTTATTTTTTGAAATAAACACAGCTCTTTCTATTAGTGCTTGAAATACTCTCAGGTAAACTGAAATAACATTTCTGTTTGTGTAATTAATTTATTTCATTTCTATACTGCCTAATAACAGAAGCTCTCTTTCCATTATGGAAAATAACGTCCAGTTTTTATCAGAACCAAGGCAATTAACAATATACAACATACACCAATGCTATGTTTATTTATTTTGTTTAAAGTGTTTTTATGCTAATCATCAGCCAAAAAGCCTTCTAGAATAGTTTATATGCAATCAGTAAAACCAGATTGTCCCTGCCGTCAGGTGCACAATAAAAAAGACAAGGAAAAAGGTATGGAAAAAGAAGAGGGAAAAATATAAGGTCGTTTTTCCCCCCCAGCCCTGGTGGAATGGCCATGTTTTCCCTCTCCTTCTGCAGATCCTGCTGGAATGGACAGTGGTGGTTACAGTTGAGAGAGGAGTTTTTCATGTGGGAGGGGCAGTCTTTCTACCGAACTGTAATAACTTACATAAAGGCAGTTTGATATCCTAGGTTCATTTCTGCACATGTGGCTGAACCATCTGACATCTGTCTCAGAAAATCTTAATGGATAGAAGAGTTTATAGTATAAATATATTGATTTCAGCATCAAGTCAGTTATCTCTTGAGTTGTAGGTCATTGGTTTCTTGACTCTGCAGAAAATGGAAGTCATGCTCCTATTCTTTATTTCAAGCTTTTATAGAACATCACAATAGCCACATGGGTCTCTTGTCAGTGTTGTTTAGGGCACACCTTATAGAACTTGAGAACATCCAAAGAAACCACATTTCCTAACCTAAAGACCATATCTCTGTTGAAAAGGGACTTCAGGTCTCATTTAAGATCCATGGCAGCTAGGCAGATATGGCCAAGTAAGATCAATCTCTGTTTCTATGTGTATCCCACATAACTTCAGAAGTTTAAACTACTTCATTCACATCTGGTGGTGTTTTACCAAAATAACTGGACAAAGAGAACCCCACTTCGAAGCTTATCTATTATACAATCTATCTTTCCTAATTCTGTGAACCTCCTACACCTCCTTCCTTTGTAATTGTGAAGAATAAACACAGTGCCTCTTACCAAATGCCCAGTGGACACATGGCATGGCTGGTGTTCCCTGCAGCCAGTCTCCTGGGTCACTGCAAATGGCAAGGGCAGAGCAGCTGCAGATAGCAACACTTCAGGTGGATAGCATCACTGGACTTAGCTTGCAGCTTGCTCCATCAGCCAGAATCAGCAACAATTGGGGTGGCTTTGAAGTGGGGGGGGGAGGGAGAGAGAGAATGAGAATAAATGGGCAATGGGAGCATGGATATGGCTGAACATACAGAGAAATTGCTCAGGAGAAACAACAATGGAGGAAGAAGGGAGAGACCTACAGACAGGAAGGCAAAAAGGGAATGGAGGAGGAAGTTCAGAAAACCAAGCAAAGGTATTCTTATGGTGAGGCAAACACAGTGCTCGATTGGGGCCAAGTCAAGTTACAGGTTGTTCAGGAGTATACTTGCCAGAAGAATCTGCTTCCTTGTGTGGAAGGAAGACTTCTCACCCACCCTTGCTTAACCCTAACCCTGCCAGACTGAGAAGGAAACCTGATAGTTTTACTCCTGGGAGCTAGAGAGAGATGAGGCTTAATCAGAATTTCATAATAGAGACAGAAGCAGCATGGGGAACTATCGAAGAAGCCGTTGGCAACTGTAGGCTTAGTGCAGGTTCCTTCCTCAGATACTGCTGTGGGGAAAGGTTTACTTAGGGAAGGGAAGATCCATTCCCTGACAGAATCTATTCTGTTATTGTTTATAGAGAGCTAATCCTTTTTGTGTTCTAGTTTAAATGGACTTCAGTTAATGTAACTAGGAGAGTTTTCCCTCAATAAAATCTGTCTTAAAACACCTGTTGATTGCGGCAAGCCAAGAGAATACTCCTCAAGACCTAATTCACATTACTTTTAGAACAAAGCCAATTTTATTTTTACAAATATAGTTTTCAAACATACACATGCACAAATGTTACTACAAAGAAAAATGTCTTGGTTAGTATACCCATATAATGCATGGCATTATATACTGGTTTTAACAGATATAACAGAGACAAAAGGAAGCTTAGGATAATTAGTGTTGCCAGATAAAGAGGTAAAGGGGAACATCTTCCATATGAACCTGCCCAAACCCTAAGATCATCTGCAGCTGTCCTCTGATAGCCCTCCTTGAAAGAGTTGAGGAGGAGTGTTACAAGGGGGGGCCTTTTGCAATAGCTCCCTGATCATGGAACTTGCTCCCCAGAGAGGTGTGCCTGGTGCCAACCCATTCTGGTGCCAGGCCAAAACCTTTTTATTCTCCAGGTTTTTAAATTGATAAATGTTATTTTAATTAGTTGCATCAAGTACTGGCACTTAGGAGCTCTTAACTGTTTTATCGTTGTAATAATGGCTTTTAATATTTTTTCTCTTTGCAGACTTTCTTGAGATTTTGTAATGGATTGTCAGTATATAAAAACTATAGATAGATAGATAAATAGATAGATAGATAGATAGATAGATAGACAGATAGATAGATAGAGCAAGACAAACTAGGGGCTATAGGACTAGAAAAGCTTGGGTGCCTGGAGATGTTGAATCATGGTAATGTATTTGATTTATACCCTACCATTCTTTCAAAAATGGTGCTCAGGGGAGTGGAGAGGCAGAATTAAAATTGATTAGAACAGTAAAAAAATGCAATAAAATACTGTAGAAACATAACTGCAGGATTTTTTTTTAATCCAGCATTTACAGATCAGAGATCTTTCTGAATGAAATGATACGTATTTGCCTGCTGGCAGAAAAACAGTGAAGTCAGCAGTCCTAGCCCCATTTGAACGAGAGTTCCTAGCGTGGTAGCAGCCACCAGAAAGTACACATACTGTTCTTAAGTAACCAAGTACAGATAGTATATAGACTCAAATGGGGTTCTGATTCTTTATTTCCTTGCAAGTGTGGGCAATAATGGGAAAACCAAATTATAGATAAGCTTTTATTAGGTACCCTAGCACAACCACAATTTTGGTTAAACGTAGATTTCACATTCTCAATAGAATTCAAAGAATGTCAGCATTCTCTTGATGGTGTTTGGTAACTGTTTCTCAACCCAGGAGGTTATAGCACAAGACAAACCACGTGTCTGACCAAATAGAGCACAGCTCTGGGACTCAGCATGCAGTTTGTGAGGATTGGTAAAGCATTCTTCGCAGAGGTACAAATGCAACTAATAAGATGAATCAGTAAGAAAACATAAAGGGATCCCTGGCCTGACAAATAAGGGCTTGTGCCAGCAAAGAACAGAATTGTCACAAGGAACAGGAATTAGAATTGATTAAACCCAATGGTCCTTTTTGACAGGGCATTTAATTAGTTTTATATTATATCGGGACATTTTGTCAACTACTAAACAGATCTTGTAACTTTATTTGTATAAGCTATTGTATTTTTTATTTGGTTTTAATTTTGTCTTTTAAATTTTTCATTGTATTTTTATATTTTACGTGTTGTGAGCCTCCTGGAGAACTTCAGCTATTGGGCAGTATAGGAATCTTATTAATAATACCTACTTGATGCAGCCTTCAATTTAACTAAACTTTTGGTTATGACAGATGATAGACCTTATGTGTCTGGTGAAAAATCTAGGCTTGAGCATCATGTAAAGCATCCTAACAAACTTAACTAAAATTATAAGTATTAGTATTATTTAGTATTATTGTTGTTATCACATTTATACCACACCTTTCTTCCTCTTACAAGGAACTCAAGGCAGCTTATCAGTTTCTCCTATCTGTTTTATCCTCACAACAACCCCTGTGAAGTATGCTAGACTAAGAGACCGTGACTGGCCAAAGGCCATTTGATGAGCTATAAAGCTGAGCGGGGACCAGAACCTGGATCTCTCGAGTTCCAGTCCAGTACTCTGACCACTCTACCACACTGACTCTGAGCAATTCCAACATGGCAAAAAAATTATTTTGCCTTTGCAGGTCCCTGTGCCTCCTGCTAATCTGTTTCAGAGAGACCCCCAGCTCTCTAGAGCAGATCTGAAGGTGCATGGAATGCTGCAGGTGGGAGGAGGAACTGCTCCCTGATGGAAGCAGTTGTTACCTATGCTAGCAATCCCTTGTCCCTTTCTGTTCCTCCTTGTGGTGTCTGTACATCACACGGATGGGCCCTGTGCCTGGGTAGAGACTGTTACCAGGAAGATTTAACAGCTAAGAACATTTTGGCAAGAGCTCTTCCTCTACCCTAACATCCATATAAAAGGGAGGGGCTTCTACCATTTCCTTAGTTCTTCTTCGACTGCTTTTAGTGCCTCCGGAAGTTCGTTCTCGTTCTGTTTCCTCAGAGCATTTTTCTACATTTTCTTTTCCTTTGCAGGTGGGAGGAGGAATTGCTTCATTTCCTTATAGAAGCAGTTATTTCACTACGTTAGCAAAGATCATATCCCTTTCTGATCTAGGCCTCTCTTGGAATCAGAATTTAGGAATAAAAGAAAACTTTTTTTTCCATTTTTAACTTTCTACATATATATGTTGAGTGCTGTCTGTTGCTCTGTGTTTTCTGATAGAATTTTATTTCTCCAGATCAGATGATTCTATAGTGTGGCTTGCTTGAGATGGTATATAACATAATGTACTGAATTGTCCATTTCTCCCTTTAACCAGTGGTATTCTAAACTGGTTTGTCTTTACTCTGTAGAGCTGAATTCTATGTAGGTATTTTTGATGAGAGGCTTTTTGAGTGCAAGTATGTAGGACACCTTTTTAGACAGAAAGGTGTCAGGAAAAGGAAATCCTGGATTTGCTTTTTATTTCTGATATAGACTAGCTCCAGCTATTGTAATATTATGATACTGAATGTATTGTAATGCAATCTATATTTGTAAGGAATTTGCAGTGAAAAGGGGTCATCTTGGTTCCCATAAGAAAGAAATAGTGGTTACCTGTTCAGCAAATGAGAGCACTTTCATTTTATTGACCAAAATTAGGCTGAGAGAGCAGTCCTGTGAATGTTTGGATAACTGCTCTGACCTCAGAAGGAGGAGTCAGAGATTGGCTGCCAGACTTATCCTTACAGGTGGCTCAGAAAGAGACTATGAAAGTGACCTTGGAGGACAAGGAAAGAGAGCATTCTGGTAGGTGAAGAGAGGGGGAACTGGAGGGACCAGGTTATGAGATAACCAGAGCCTTCTTCCATTTCCTTCCCTCTCCTTCTAAGGTACCCTTGCTAGATGGGCTGAAATGCACAAATACTGAAAATACAGGTTGATGAAGAATGGGGAAGCAAAGACAGTTTCAGACATTCCTGCCACTCTGCTGGCTTCAGCTGTACAAAGCATTTGGAATCTTGGAAGACTCCAAGTTTGGGTGCCTCTGAGCAGCAAGGGTACTCTCCATAAGAAAGGAGATTCTGTCTTCTAGGTCTAACATGTAGTATATGATAATAGATTCTAGATGTTTATGTCATTTCTATATCATAAAGAATAGGTACTTGTTAAGCAAGAGTGCAGTTCATATATGTATTATATACTAGCTTGTAAATGTTACATAGTTACAGTGTCAGTTCTGGCTTAATCTTAATATAAAGCTCTTTACAAGACAGAATAGAGTGCAAGTTCTGTATTCCCGTAATAGTTGCATATTAATTGCAAGTCAAATGCAATAAATTATAATATTGGGCTTAAATAATTTTTTGCCCAAGTAGTTATTAAAAATATGAAGGGGAAAGTTAATAGTTTGTTGCCTTCCAACTTCCTGTACATCTATATTTATCCCCTTTTGTGGTAAACAAATGTTTGTGCCTTAGTGCTGTAAGTTTGATTATATGTAATGGTTCAGGGATTATGTTCTTGAAGTTTTTCATAAGGATTTTAAACACTCAACTTTCAGTCTTCTACTTTAAACAGAACACCCAGCAGTTACACACACAGTACCAGTCAAGTCTGAACCTTTTTTTGAAGATTCATTTTAATTTATTTTCCAACGCATCATGTAAAACATATGTTCTACACAAGCATATGTCTTTTAAAGAGATCACATTAAAGCAAGACTATTGATGAGCATATTGGGGATGTAAATGGCTGTCAGGTCAAGCGGTAGCAATCGAATGAACCTTTGCTGCTGACGTTAATTTACAGGGGTCAACAGGACAAAACTGCACGACATGATAGCTGATCTGGGCGATGATGAGCTACCCCACATCCCATCAGGAGTCATTAATCAATCTAGGTCACCCTCTTCTAGAATGACTGATCATGAAGGTGCAAGAGCAGAGGAAGGTACAACAAATTCAGCTACTTATTTTGTTTTAAAAGGTTTTATTTTAAAACCACACGTGTGTAGTCGCTCTGAACCAAATACCTAACATTAAGATGCAGTTGTTGCTTGTAGCTTGGTTCTGCAAAAGACTACCACTATACAATCTTCAGTTTTTGTCTTGTATGACAGAAATTGATACACAGACTTGCGTGTTTAAATTATGTCTATATAATTCTTACTATCACACTGGTGAATACCAAATACAAAGAAGTTATTTAAAAAGCAGTTGCTGCTGGTGAAGGATACCCTTCTCTTTTACATTTTTAACTATTCTAAGGTGTGGAGAATACTTATTTAAAAACTTGTCCTTGAGCAAAATATATTGTACCTGCATTGAGTGAAATTGCTTAGTGCTCTGCTCACCTTTTGAGCAGAAGTGCTTCTGATTCAGCATTTAGCACTCTTTAATTTGTATTTAAAATACCATTTTGTGATCTGAAAAGCATGGTTTGCTAATCAAGAGACCATATTGAGCGGCTTTTAGCATAAACCCAAATTTGATTTTGAAAATTTTTTGAAACAAAGCAAGCCATGTCCTAAAAAGAGATATATCCTGAAATTGAAGAACCTGTTTTTCTTTTATTCATGGATTGCAGTGCAAACCCTTAATATATATGGTGTTTAAGTGTCAAGCTATGAAGTTCAAATCTTGTGGAAAAACAACTTTAATTGTATTAATACTCTGTCACTATTGTTTTTCCTGGATCTTTTAATACTGTTTGCAAGAGTTACAGTAGTTTTGGACTCCAAATGATTTTGGAAGTCAAAGATTATCCGTGTTCTGAACATGTAAAGATATATCATCAAGTCCTTAGCACATGATCTTAAAAATAATGTACAAATATAAAAAAACATTTTGAGGAGTGTTGTCATTTTTTATGAAATACAAACTTTTAGCTGAATGGATCTGCTTATGATGATGCATAGAGGACATGGATGTGTGACCTCATTCTCACACTAAAGTGCAGGATGCAGATATTTCATGACCAAGTATTGTTATTTGGTAAGCTGCATAATAAGGAAAAATGCAACATCTTGGTTTGTACTTGTCTTCCTTCTTGTTACTAGGTATTTAACTTCCTGAAGGCCAAGACAGGGGGGTTTTTTAGCTTTTTGTTTTGTTTTTGCTTTGCACATCATACATGTACCTGACTCTCCTGGTTATTACTTTGCAGGCAAAATTTAGGAAGTGTAGGAAACAAAATATTTTTTAATCTTGTACATATGTTATGCATTCATACTAAAATAATCATTATGAAAGTGACTAGTCTAAATATAACACTTGTCTATGTTAAGGGACACTAATAACAGATTTTTGTTACAAGTTGGAGGAGGAATTTGTAGGATAAATAGCCTGTTGCCTATGTCTTAAAAGACTGAAGTTTAAAATTAAATTTCATATGAAAAAGATTTGTTGGATCAAAGGCAATATAACTTTTCTTCAGGAAAAGTAAATTTGAAATACATTTGAAAGATACATTTCAAAAATGCTTCTGAGCAAAACAAGGCAGAATACAGTAAGAAAGTATGTGTTTGTCTTTAACGGACAACAGGTTTTTAAAAGTGTCTTAACTCTTAAGAATAAAATATATTTGACCTGGTTTGTACGTAACATCAACAAACAAGTTTTACCCTGGCTTATTGTTGGGTTAAAAATCTGGATTGTTTCTTCCTCAATAACCCAGAAGTATGGGTTCAGGCATCTTAGCAAACAACCACTTATTTTGGTCTAGTAAGCAGTATCGAAGTATTGCAAATAAATAACAAGCCCAGGAATGTGGTGTTCCTAGGTTGTTTTGTAAAATGAGAAAAGGGCACAAGTAGTTTTGAGTCAAATGGTTTTGAGGTATTAGTCCTATGAACTGTTGTTCCATGCAAATTGGGTTGTCCTTCCACTAACAGAAAGATTCTTTACTTAAATAGAAGATACCAATGCCCAAAGAAATTCCTTGTTGAAAAAAGGGAGAAGGTGGTTTTCACTAATCCCTGCTTCCCTTTTCAGCCTCACAGTGCTGCCTTCCATGTTGTTGCAGAGGACCCCAAGATCTTCTAGAGCAGCATATGAGAAGCGCAAGGGTCCAAAACAGAAAAGAGTAAACCCCCAGAATAGTGTTTTCTGAATGGAGTTCTGTTGTTGACTGTCTAGATCTAACCCATTTTATTTGTTCCATTTGAACCAAAAGTGATGGAATAAACTAATTCTTCCTCAAAGCAATATTTTGATAGGCTTCATACACTGAGCAAGGTATCCTTTTAACACATCTTGCCAATGAGACAGTTTCCATCAGTGGAATAGGAAGGAGTGATTTCCCCCTCCCCGGTACAAGTCTCTGTGCATCCACTGAATCTGCTCTGGAGGGGTGGGGGACCCTCCAGAGAAGATTGGGGCAACAGAGGGGTGCAGAGTATGGAGAGATTAGGAAGTCTCAGTATGCAAGTAGAAGGTCAATCCGACAAAGTTGGATTTCACCCATATTTTGTATTTGAAATTGAGGAGGAATACACTTTGAAAAGGTAAGCGAGTGTGAAACAAAAGTGAAATTGCTTAGATGCAATATTGCTTGCTTGCTTGCATTCGTTAGTACATCAGTGAAATAGAGACTATGTATATATAGACATGAAAGTTCTGGATGTCTTGAAGCAGTTAAAAAAACTTTCCAGAGTAATACAAAAAAATTGAGGCAAAACTGCAGAATATCTACTTTTTGTGCTTTTTATAGACCTGTGATCACATTGCAACTTTAGGAACATAAAGTATTTTATATGATTTTGCTCATAAAAATTCTCATTCAGATTAAAAGCATTTAAAAGTATAATAATTAGTAAATTCTTAATTGTCTGATTGAAATACACATTTAAATGTAATATACCAAACATAATAAATTTATGAGCAAACTAAATTATACAGTGACTTGCAGAAGTATTGATTCCCCTTTGACTTTTCCAGATTTTGTTGTGTCATAGCCTGGAATTGAACATACTCATGTTTTTAATTGGCATGGTTACCACTTGATGTACACAATCAATACAACACTGTTAAGGTGTGAAATAGTTTTATTGTAGCACAAATGTTGAAGTGCAACAAAATGTGGAATAAGCAGGATGAATACTTCGACAGGGCATTATACATAATACATTTTAGGGATTTCAGCAAAGTGTGGAGCCGATGTATCTCCAGTAGATGCACTCTGGTCAGCAATAGGAAGGAAGCTGGGGTCTCAGCCTCTCCCTGTGAGCAGTGGCCAGAGAGTGGAATCAGTCACCCTAAGTGTGTTACAGGATGGGAGAAGCACAGAGGCAGTCTTCACCTCCTTGCTCCTCTCTCCCTTACTAGAATGCCAGTAATCCTCCAAGTTTGGGAAATTACAGTAGCCACATTGAATTGCATTGTTACTCCCTGAAACATCTCTTTCTTCCTAGAAGCACCAAGACTGATTTACAGCCATTTATCTTGTATGTGAGGGAGGAACTCATTGGGTTGGTATTTAGAAAAATCTAGTTTGAAGGAAAAGTTATATAGAGAGTTTATTTAGGGAAAATCTCTTATCTAATGGAATGCTATTTATTTCTCACCTGCTATTTGAAGTGGCATTTTATTCCTTTTTTTCTCCATTGTTGTCATTAATACGCTTCTTACTTTTAGGGAGGTTGAAAGTTTGCCTCTACTGATGGTGTTGCTCGCATGCCTGTGCCATAGGCAACAGGCTGCTGAGTGTCTTTTATATATTGGCAGCTTAGTTTGGTGGCAGCAGTTAAGGGCTTTATAGTTGAGGCAGTGGTCCTTAACAGCGAAGTCTGATTGGGGAATTTGAGAAGTTATAACAATGACTTCCATAGAGTCAAGCCTTAGTGTTTTTATAGTAAAATAAGGAAACATGGGCAGGCATAACTTAAATGCCACTCTATAAAAGATACATTAGATCAATAATTCTAATAAGGAATGGAAGATACTGTACTTGGACTCTCCCTGCATTCCCATGACTTCATAATTTTCAAAAAATTTACTGATCTAGTTCTACTGTAAGCTTCATATTACGTAATTATTAGAAATTATTTTGGGACTAAAGATGCGGCATTAATATATTAACAATTGGCCGTAAATATTGTCTTTATTATTCTAATAGAAAATGGGCAGTATCCTTCACTGCTGCAACTGCACTATAGGGAGTATACCTTCTCCCACAACTAATGAAATCTACTTCCAATGCTTATGGAAAAACTCCACTGCCTTGACCCATCCTAAAAAGGCATATTTCCAGGGTTATTTCAAGTGCTCCTGGTTCCTGTTTGGTTAGCAGTCCCTTCACTGGCAAAACAACTAGTAGAAGGGCCACAGTAGTATAGGATACTGCCCAGCATTACATAATTTAAATTCATTCAGTAAAAAGAAAGGTGAAGGGGTCGGGGACAAAAGACCCCAGTTTTTCACACCAGCTTTTCTTGTTTTGTTCCCCCCAGGCCTACATATTTTTATGTATATGCAAGAGGGGTACTATTAGCTGGTACAGTCTTGTAGCTATTTAGATAAATATAACATATTGTTTACATTTATGGAGAGTATAACTAAAAAAGTTAGCATATATAAACTTTAACTGTCTTCTTTCTTACAGCTGAGCCAATAACGTTTCCATCTGGAGGAGGGAAGTCATTTATTATGGGTTCAGATGACGTATTACTAAGTGTACTGGGCCTTGGGGACCTTGCAGACCTGACTGTAGCTAATGATGCAGACTATAGTTATGATGTAAGTGCAGTTTTATTTCATGATGGAACTAATGCAGAAGTACATTCTTGGAATTTTTCAAATTTTTTG